AACTAGCCCAGTCCTCCCCGTCTCTACGCTGAGCCAATGGTACACAGTGCGGCGATCTTATTATTGCACTCAACTCATCGCGGTCTGAGCGGCAGTGCGGTCGGTACATACCGGCGCTGGCCCCGTCCAGCCCTTGCTAGTCACCGTGGTAGTCCGGGACAGCTTCCACCACGGCCCGGCCTGATGAGTTTAGCCTAGTTGTGCGATGCCACACACACGTACCTTAACCCACTCCATCTGACTTGCATTTCCAATGGTCCTGCCAAACCGTAGTTTAGTTACACTCATATACAACTTCGCCTCTCTATAACTTTGCCTTTTGTGTGTTGTATTATGTTAAGCTTACCTGTCTTCAAACCCACATTGAACTTTGATGAAGAGAAGTGAGAGCAATAAACCAACCATACAGTTTGACTGTCACCCAAACCCCTTGTTTCATGTCCACCTTTTAATAAATGGTTGACCCCAAATATCACATCCCGTAGACACTAATAAAGTCCATGCTACCTTTGACTTGATATTTAGGGAATGCAACAGCACTATGGAAAGAATTCACCATGTGCAAAAAGCCTACAAGACTTGTCTGAAAATTCTAAGTGTTTTCTAAGTGTATTCCTCAATATTTTCCCCACTAACTTTGATAGTGTTTTGTTTGTGAAATAGGCAAATTGTGGTCAATATTTATTTTCCCAGTACCTTTTCTTGTCAACTTTCTAGTCTGGTCAACTTCTTCTTTTCCGAAAACATCATATTGTCCTGGTATAGGCAAGGGTGACTTTGTTTAATAGCCTGATTTCGAATACTTATTAGAGTGTGCCCAGTATGGCAGACAATTGTTTTCTGTCTGGGAATAGGGTGAGATATTTGATAGCTCATGTGTTTGCACTCAAACATTGTGTGAAATACTGTGTTCATGGGTTGGATTTCTGCAATCCAGTCAAGAACGAATAAAATGGCAACAGGTTCTGCTGTGAAGAAAGAGGCCTCATTGTTTAATCTGATGATCACAGAGTAATTACGTTGAGATGTGTATTCCACATTTAACTGTGTTAGGTGTTTTGTCAAGTGAACCATTGGTATAAACTTGGAGTTAGTTTTCCAAAGGGTACTTTTCTATGGATGGTTTCTGTAGCAATGAAAACCTTTTCATATAATGCCGGTAGACCACTCTCATTTTGCCTACAACTTGTATGGGCAGCCAGAGTTTGCAAAACTATCACAGTTTGGTTGGTTTTTGATTTTTATTTCCAATTTGTTCAAC